GAAGATGCATCACTGTTGTTTGTATATCATGTTTTTGTTGTTTTCATATCATGTTTTTATCGTTTTGTATCATGCCTCTGTTGTTATATCCTTTTGTTACTGTTTATTAATAAATTTATATATTATTTTCATATACATTTTACTAATTTCCTTTCATCTCTTACACTTCTATTATAGAGAAAGGGCAAATAGCAATATTAAAATATTTCCGCTAATTAATTCCCTTTTAATGTGCACAAATTTCGTGCACCAGGCTACTAGTTTATATTGAATTATCATATCCTTTAGGAGTAATATTCTGAGGGCAGCAACCACATCGCTCTTCTGTCCCCAGCATCTGGAACTGTGCTTGGCACTGAGTAAACACTCAATAGAATGAAACAAATGAGTAAGTGTGTGATGAGTGAACTCATCAATCAACATCGGGACATCAACACTCTTCAAGGCAGTAAGATTCTTCATGACATTTATTGCATAAGGGAATCCAAGACAATTACTCAGGTGACCTTAGTGGATCCGGTGGCAGGAGAAGTAGGGTAAGCTCTGGGTTTGGGGAAAGCACTCCCCCCAACCTACAACCTCAAACCACCCAACCTCACCTGACCCAATTCAACACACATGCTCTACATCACTCCTAACTCAACTCAACAATCTCCATTAACTGGTGAATGGGTAGACAAAATGAAATACTGTCTATATATATAAAAGCCTAAGTGAATGAACGACCAATCAACTGCTCAACGCAGGAGCTGCCCCTGGTGGTCAGTGCACTCTCACAGCCAACCTCCCGTGGCCGGCCAACCTCCCGCGGTCCCTCCCCTGCAGTTGGCCAGCCCCAATTGGCCCCAACCGCTGGCCAGGCCGAGGTACCCCACCGATGCACGAATTCATGCACAGGGCCTCTAGTTCAACAATGAAAGGAATGAAGTATTGATGCATACTACAGCATGAGCCTTAAAACAATGATGCTAAATGAAAGAAGCCAGACACAAAGGTCCACATAGTGTAAGATGCCATTTACATGACATGTCCAAAATAGGCAAGTCCATTGAGATAGAAAGAGTAGTGGTTGCCTACTGCTGAGAGGTTTGGAGGAAATGAGAGTGGCTGCTAACGGATATAGGGTTTCTTTCTGAGGTGATGAAAATGTTCTAAAATCGATTGCAGTGATGGTTTCACCCGTCTGTGAATGTACTAAAAACCATTAATTGTATACTTCAAATGAGTGAATTATATGGTATTGAATTACATCTCAATAAATAAAAAACTCAACCCAACATCTAATCCCCAATTCAAGCCACCTCAGACTCAACTCTCATCTTAACTGATCCCAGCTTGATTTACCAAACTGACAATTCCCACTCCCTACCCATAGCAACTGCTACTTACCTCTATTCAGTTCATCCTACATCTCAAAGCAACCCTAATTCAATTTAATCCAACTCCAAACCCTGAACTCAATCCACTCATTGTCCATCCTCCACCTCAACAAATATCACTAATTCACAACCCCAGCCTCATTCAACTCAGTCCAAACCAACCTCTAATGCAACTCATCCTCAACCCATTTTCAACCCCTAAATTCCAGCCCCAAACTTACTTCAAGGCTCAACTCCTAATTCATTTCTCTTCATCTCCAACTCATCCTGACTTGCTACCCAGACCTTTGACATCTAGTCCTTTCATTTCAAATCAAAACCACATCCCATGTCACCTCTCCATGTATCCCCTCAGCTCAAGCCAGTGTCTCCAGGACCAATCAAGATTAACATGGAGATCTTTCTTTTTCTTTCTTTCTTTCTTTCTTTCTTTCTTTCTTTCTTTCTTTCTTTCTTTCTTTCTTTCCTTCCTTCCTTCCTTCCTTCCTTCCTTCCTTCCTTCCTTCCTTCACATCTGATACTAAAATGATATTCTC